ATTTGTGGACTTGTTGCTTAGAAATCCAAATTGATGTTCAGTAAGTATTTTGTACTTAAACAGAAAAGATACCAGCCTTCTTTTAACCAACCTTTCTAAGATTTTAGATAGCGTTGGTAGGAGTGCAATTGGGCGATAGTTAGAAGCTTGATCTTTGTCTCCTCCTTTATGCAGAGAAATGATTATTGCCGTCTTAAGTCATTTTGGAAAAATACCATTTTGGAATGACATGTTTATTAAAATAGTTAGAGTGATTCAGAGTGCTTTTTGGCAGATTCGAAAACATTTTTAAAGTTAGCCCGTCGGTCCCAGATGAGGATTTATTTTTAATGGTATTAATTGTACTGCAAAGCTCTTCTAAAAAGGGTAATTCAGTAAAAATCTCATTTTCGAAAAAAAGTAGAGCTGCCTGGTTATTGCAGCAATCCCTTCAATTACACTTTTGTTTTATTTTTGTCATAAATAAAGTCACAAATTTCGAGGGACCTATTTGTATAAATAAGTAACAATATTCAAATAGTACCATCAGTTACGGATTAGTTTTAAACAGTTGACAGCTACGAATTGCTACTTTCACCTCACTGTAACTATATCAAAGATACTGATTTTCAACCCATCTCTAACGAATACGCGCGTACAGCAATAAGACACTCCTTATCAAACGAGACGAGCCGCGCGACTATCAATCTATAAAAAGCATATTTGCTTCCATAGCCGGCCGCCAAACCCACCCGATTCGAGTCCGGGTGACTTCGGACAAATGACGTATCCGTTTCGAACACGGCTTTAGTCTTAAGAAAGGCGCTCGATCCGAACGGAGATAGATGGGCCGCGCGCGGTGATTTATGGAATCGCGCGCCTCCCCCAGATACACAAATCCTCCGAGAGAGTAAATTATTCGAGATACGCCGCGGAATAATTGATTTTATCGGACGCGATTAGTACCCGTCCCGGTACTAAGCCGGGCCCACAGGGCGGCATACCGGCGCGAGGCAGAGGCCGTGGCTTATGGAGACGGACTTGGAGGGACGCAACCACAGAACATACACATAAGTGTCCAAAACTCTTACATATCGATAAATAGAGCATCTTTGTATTTTTAGAATTAAATACTCAGTATGTAGCTAATGTTCACATGTTTTGCCCCAACTTTAACAAAAACTGAAGTATACAGGGTGTCCCAGAAATAAGTGCAAGTATTTTAATTGGTAGTCTAGTTCAACAACAGAAACACGCTTATGAGGTTTTCTTCGTGAAAAAAATTTTTTGAAAAAATTTTTGGATTTTTTTTTTAGTTTTTAGTTAAAAAACATAATTTCTTGATAATATGGCAACATAGGTATTAGATTAAATTTACAAGAAAGGAAATCCAGAAAAAATCCTGTGGTTCTCTAAATTTTAGCAAAAACATTTTTTTTTGTAAATTTTCAAAGTGAAATAACTCCGTTATTTTGGACTTATTTGAAAAACGATAAAGAAAAAATATGTTTCTTTTATCGAGATCTACCACCCCTTAAAATACTTGCACTTATTTCTGGGACACCCTGTATAGTAATAATGTTATACAGGGTTGTTCACCACATACGACACGGAGTATTGTAGCTAAACGATGAGATTTTTACAAATTGTAAGTTTGGGGTTCGTTGAAGGACTATTAGAGCTACAATTTAAAAATATTTTTACAAGATACAGAGTGTCCCAAATAAATAAAAAATATCAAAGTTGTATTTTTTTAAATGGAACACTCTGTATATTATTACATTTTAGTTTCTACGATTAAAATAAAGGTAAATTTGATTAGGTTTATTATACTTAAACCTTACCGTTTTTGAAATATTTTCAATTTTGTGAAATTGCAGTAAAAAATTTTAAAGCTTCATTTCTCCAAGGGTATCAATGTTTTTAATACTAAATATTTAATGAAGTTTATTTATTGATCAGTTATTGTGTTGCAATAATAAAAATAATACTACCTTATACAGAGTGTCTAAAAATTTATTTTAAATAATTATTAGCTTCAAACGGCAATAACTTCTTTAATTTAAATAGAATGCCCTGTATATTTTAGGAGAATCACATGCACAATTAAATTGTCTATCAAATTGTATTATACCATTTTTTACCTATCCCTTCAAGTTTTCGTAGAAAATGCATTTTCTTATAATTTAGACCTCATTTATCAATATATCCATGGAATACTGACATTTTAGATTGTTTTTAAAGCAACAAATGTACAAAATGTACAGACTAGTAATATTATCGTTTTTAGCAAAACGATATTACTAGCCCATTTGTATGCAAAAAGAAAACTATTTAAATCTTTATAAAAGAGTATACCATTAATTAAATATAACACCATTATTTCTGCCCATATACTAATTAATGACATACTTAATTGTGTTCGTTAATAAATTATTATAAATAAATGTGGATTTTTGAGTCAGAAATCAATATAATAAGTTATCAAATTAAAGTCTTTGTTGTTATAAATAAGCATTTATTAAAAAATGAAATATCATTTTTAAGGTGTTACTTTTTATCACACTGTCTAATGCCCATACAAAATTCAGTTTTTAGTATTTGGAGCAATTATTATTAATCAACGCAAACAGTCAGTTAATGTAGTTTGAATACTGGAATCATATTAATTGGTCCTCTTTAACAAATATTTATTTTATTTCATTAAAAAAAAAACAGTTTTTTTTTAATGAAATAAACGAATTATATCGACAATATTAGTATCTGTACTCTTTAAAAATTTGGTACATCTTTAAAAATAATCTAAAATGTCAATAGTCCATGGGTATATTGATAAATAAGCTCTAAATTACAAGAAAATGCATTTTCTACGGAAACTTAAAGAGATAGGTAAGAAATGGTATAATATAATTTGATAGACAATTAAATTGTGCATCTGATTCTCGTAAAATATACAGGGTGTTCCATTTAAATTAAACAAGTTATTGCCGTTTGAAATTAATAATTATTTAAAATATATTTTTAGACACTCTGTATAAGGTAGTATTATTTTTATTATTGCAACACAATAACTGATCAGTAAATAAACTTCAGTAAATATTTAGTATTAAAAACTTTGATACCCTTGGAGAAATGAAGCCTTAAAATTTTTACTGCAATTTCACAAAATTGAAAATATTTCAAAAACGGTAAGGTTTAAGTATAATAAATCATAATCAAATTTACCTTTATTTTAATCGTAGAAACTAAAAATGTAATAATATACAGGGTGTTCTATTTAAAAAAATACAACTTTGATATTTTTTACTTATTTGGGACACTCTGTATCTTGTAAAATTATTTTTAAATTGTACCTCTAATAGTCCTTCATCGAACCCAAAACTTACAATTGTCTGTTGCATGTGGTGAAAACAAAATCTGTCGCATGTGGTGAACAACCCTGTATACAGGGTGGTCCGAACTGTAGTCCGGAAACTTCACCGGCATATTCTGCAGATTAAAATAAGTAAAGAATTTCGTATAAACGTATGTCCTAAAATGCTTAGTTTCGGAGATACAGGGTGTAGAAGTTTCATTTTCATTTCGATTTATTTACAAATAATTTATGAAGTAACGTCAATATTTAGATGAAAATTGGTGTCTGAGAGTTTTGAATTTGTTCTGAATTTTATTTTTATGTCAATATCACTCCTATTTGTAGGGGGCGCCACTTACATATTTTTTAAATGGTTTAAAGTGTAATAACTTTTTGTCCGTACCTGTATAAAACTACTGAGTAAAAAAATATACATTTACGACGTTTTTTACGTAAAAAGGGTCTCTCGGTAAAATCGCTACGAGTAATGGTTCTCGAGATATTTGGAATCGAAATTATTAGTACCTGTCAGCATTGACATGAACTAAACATGCTGACTAAATAGTTATTAGACTGAAATCATAAATTTGAAATGTTTTTGTGCCAAAAGTTCAATAGAAACTGTTTAATATTATTTTTTCGCAGAAAAATTTATGATTAATTTAAAAAAATAAAAATTTATTATTTCAGTCAAGTAACTGTACACTATACACATCGTGTGTTTATTTTTTGTCAAACAATGACATGTATTGACTATTTTTTATTAAAAAGTCATGGAAATGTATATTTTTTCACTCAGTAGTTTTATATAGGTACGGACGAAAAGTTGCCACTCTTCAAAACAGTTAAAACACATGTAGGTACAAAACAACTACAAATAGGGGTCATATTGACATTAAAATCAAATTTCTCCTAAACAAAACTCCTAAACAATTTTCATCCAAATATTGACGTTAGGTACTTCAGAAATTATTTGAAAAAAATCGAAACAAAAATGAAACTTCTACACCCTGTATCTCCGAAACTAAGCATTTTATGACATACATTTATACGAACTTTTTTAGTTATTTTTATCTACAGAATATGCTGCCGAAGTTTCCGGAATACAATTCGGACCACCCTGTATATTTCGTATGGCGTATTAAGAGACATATGATATCAATAAAATTAAAAAAAATCAATACAAAAATACAAACAATTCAAAAATCAACAATCAAATGTTTAAGAGACATATCACTATGTTACAGTAAAAACGAACGACTATAAATTTACATTATAAGATTCAGCTCTACGATCCATTATATAGCATCCAGGTCAGCCTCATGAAGACGATTTAAAGAGAACTGCGCCTTTATTAATGGGCATGCACTCTGTTGCGATATGAAAAGGGGTGTGTTCAGGATGTCCGCAATCCCATTTGTGTGTCCAGAAACGGGTTCTGCCATGGTTAGTTCTGAACCGATTGGGGGTTGTCCACGTTTTTCTTGGCAAGTTGTATCCGGCAGGGCAGAGTACTGGGTCAGTTATCAAGTGATAAAGGTCAGGATTATTTTGTGACCATTTATCTCGGCAGCAGTCTTCAACTCAAAAGTTGGAATTTAGTAGCGGCTGTCCTAATGTCTATGGCGGTTTTCTGGACGTCAAGCGATGCAAGAAATTTTCGCAATCATGGATGGGAAGATGAACATTGCTGGTGCACTTTTTCCACTCTCTGACTAGAGCCGCGTATCTTCTCAAATGAGGGGTAGTTATGTTTGATAATACGGGAAGCTATTAGATCGGAGTGCTTGTGGTAGTGCCCGTTATAATTCTCATCGCGCTGTTAAGACGTGTGTCAATAAGATGATTGCTATTTATCCAGACAGGGCAGCAATATTCTGCCACCGAATATATGAGGGCCATTGCAGTTGTTTTAAGTACACTCGCGTTTGCTCCCCAGCTGCTACCTGCGATCTTGTGCAATATATTGTTTCTAGTATTTATTTTTGCAGCCGTCTTGATGAGGGTTGGCTTGAACATGAGGGACCGATCCAATGTGACTCCCAACTATTTTGGGTGAGAGTTGTATTTTGTTGTTATTTATCAATGTTTGGGCGAAGCCTCCACTTGTTAAAGTACTTATTTAGCCCCTGCAAGTCAACTGACAGAATATTTTCGCCTCTAGTGAAATCAGTTGTTTGACAGGAAAGTGCAATGTCATCTGCATGTATCATTTTTTTGGAGACTGTAGTAGAGAGGTCCGCGGTATAGATATTCTAAAGAACAGTACAGAGCCTTGCGGGAGGCCATTGTTGATGTTGTCAGTGCGACTTTTTTCTCCCCTCAAATGCACTTGGATATTTCTGTTCGAGAGCATGTTGTTAGGTTAGGTTAGGTATTAAATTGGCCAGTTTTTTGCAAGGAAAGATTTTAATGAACTTTGATACCATTCCATCTCTCCAGACCGTACCATAAGCCGATATACCCAGGATACCCAGACCGTAATAATGTTTAAAAAATGTCTATACCTCTGTAGCGGATTCCTCTTCAAAAAAGTCCTATGGGTATTGAGTACGCCACTGTAATAAAATCTACAAAATAAAATAATTGTTTTTTGTGAACTCTGCTGCGTTAATCCAACGGATGCCAGCTTGTCAGCAGTGATTTACTAATAAAGACATTTGCCTAACGGACAAAAAAAATGCTTAACGTTTCGGGAAGTATATTCTCTTCGTCAGAAGCAAAAAATGCCCCCCCAAATTACAAAGAAAAAAACTACTTAAAATATCTAAATACGATTATTCAAAAACACTTTATTTTTTTAACCGCTATAGATACGCCTCATGATACAAAGAATACAAGATATGATATTGCGCAGGTTGGTCACTACGTCACAGGTGATAAACGGCACCATTGGTCGGCAAGCTCTGCGCGCCAATTTCAAATTGTCAAACATATTGTGTCATCTGTGAAATTTCATTGTGTCAAAATGTGAAAATAATTTTTCAAATGTCAAGCTCGATGATTTGACATAACTTTTGGGGTTATGTCCTAATTCTTCCCTATTTTAGGTCTTTTTTTATTAGTGGCAATTGAACAATATGGATATTTTTTTGTATGGCGTATGACGTCACAGGTGGTATGCGCAAACTTAACGAAATCGGGGCCGCTATCGATCATACCTTGTTTTCTTTGTACCATGGATACGCCTATAAAAACCGTTGACGTTCTGTTAAAATGACATATCAAATTAAACTTCAAAATTAACAATTACTACCTAATAACAATTAAAAATTACTGACAATTTCATAATGAGGTAAAACTATGGAGTGTAGAAGTAAGGAGAAATATCTTCATGCAAGGGGGAAGAAAATGGGATTCGTAAAAATGGGAAGACTGCTACAACTACTTAAGATGGCGCTGCTGTAGCAAAAACCTAAAATTTAAATTATGCGCCGAAAATTTTTATAACAGGAAATCATTCAAAAGAGATAAATACTTATTTGACAAAAATTTGATAATTTTTTTTATTCAGCAGCAATAGACTAAAAATTTTTTTTGGGTAATGTTTGGTTTGGTTATGTTACTTTTATTCTCTTATCTATGGTTACTTTTAAATTTTTAGATTTATGCGTCATTAGCGCCACTTTTCTCTCATTTGGTGTACCCTTATTTTGTGACCCCTTATTTTGTGACCCTTATTTTGTGACCACTTTTTCAAATAAAATCCCATAAGATATATTTCTCCTCATATCTACACTCCATAGGTAAAACCAAAAAGCCTGAAACTTTCTGAATATGATTATTTTTTATTTGTTTTTAATATTTTACTTATGTTCATTAAGATCAAAGAAGCGATTGCAATACATTACTAACCTCTACGGATGCCTGAGCAATCTATTTATTTTTGTTAGACTGTATTAAAAAAGCATCTTTTATATTTCGTTTTTTTTTTTATAAGAAAAAATTAAAAACAAATTAAAAATAATCATAGAGAAACTTTGAGGCTATATTAGATTGAAAAAAAAATGTATATGAAAGTATATTATCTAAAAGGCAGCAACAGTATATCTAATGGCAGTTCAAAAGTAGCACGGCTGATCGACTAGTGGCAAAATAAGGGGAGGACCGGGCAAAGTCTCCTGTCCTCTAACGAGACACGCACCGCGTCTTTACAAATCATTAGTTATCCCTTACAAGCCAAGATTTAAACCCTTTCCGTAATTAATCACATAAAATTCCGAGCCAGATTGGGTAAACATTGGTAAGTCCCTCTAATATATGTACCTCTATGTGCTGGAGGAGCCAGTGGCTGCAAAAACAAAGACTTTAAAATATGGCAACTGAATATTTTTGTGGGGTGTTTAATTATTGATTTTGTTTGTTTTTATTATTTTCTTTTTGTAACTGTGATCAAATAATACTGTTTCGAACTAGTTTAAATTATATCATTCTTCTTCTTATCACGCCCTCTCCTGCCGAAGGTTGGCGATCCAAATGGCAATTGTGGTTCTGGAAACTGCAGCCCGGAAGATTTCCGCAGACGAGCGTTCAAACCATCTCCTCAAATCTTTTAGCCATGCGTTCTGGCGTCTTCCTACTGATCTTTTCCCTTGCACTTTGCCCTCTATTATGAGGCGCAGTATTTCGTATCTACACATAACCCACGTAATGCATTTTTCTTTCCTTGATGGTGTTCAGTATCTCTTTTTGTTTCTGCATGCGCTGGAGTACTTCATTGTTGGTGATCCTTTGTACCCATGAGATTCGCAGCATCCGTCTGTATATATACATTTCGAAGGCTTCTATTCTCTTCTCGGTCTGTAAATCCAGTGTCCAGCTCTCACATCCATAGAGTAATACAGAGAAGACGTAGCATCTCGATCACGTCGAGACGATCGCATCGAGTTCTGAGATCCGCACTGAGGTCTCTTCTTGTAAAAAATGATTTCATTCTCACGAAGATTTTTCTCGCTTGCTCAATTCTTGAAAATATTTCTCTTTTCGGGTCGCACTGACTATTGATGTTAGCTCCTAAATACTTTATTGAGGTCACTTGTTCGATTGTTTGTCCCTTGACACGCAGGTGTGCATTTATTGGAGTCTTAGAAAAGACCAATAGTTTGGTCTTGGAGACATTGAGATGCAGTCCAAACATCTCACTATAGTGGACTACGGAATCTATAATGCTTTGCAGTTCTTGTATATCGTTGGCTATTATAACCGTATCATCGGCATATCTGATATTGTTTATTGGGATTCCATTGAACTTGATTCCGCCCTGGATTCGATCCAGTGCTTCTCTAAATATAGTCTCCGAGTACAGGTTAAACAGGAGCGGAGACAAGACGCAACCCTGCCGAACACCCCGTCTGATTTGTATATCTTCCGATGTTGACTGCTTCATCTCAACTACCGCCGTTTGATGCCAATAAAGTTCTGATATGAAACGTAGGTCTTGTTCGTCAACTCCGGTTGTTCTTAGAATTTTGATCATCTTCTGATGATTAACACAGTCGAACGCTTTACGATAGTCTATGAAGCATGCAAATACATTCACATTCATGTCTCTACACCTCTGTGTCATTACATTTAGGGAGAAGAGTGCTTCACGTGTTCCAAGTCCGTTTCTGAAGCCAAACTGGGTGTTGTCCATCTGATTTTCGAACTTCTTGTAGATTCGAGTGTGGATGATTCTAAGAAAGGTTTTGAGGACATGGGACATAAGACTTATCATCCGATAGTCATCACATTGTGAGGCGTTGGGTTTCTTTAGCAGGGTTACGAATGTTGATTTAAGCCAATCTGACGGTATTTTGCTTGAGATATATAATTTGTTAAATAATGCTGTTACCAAATCTAGACTTCTGCTTTCGTTATCTGCAATGAGTTTAAGTATTTCAACGTTTATTTTATCGGGACCGGTAGCTTTTCCGCTTTTCTGCGCTTTTATGGCATGAACAACTTCGTCTTTGGTTATTGCTGGAGCCTTTTCATTCAGTATGTGATCTATCGGTGGTGGGGAACAGGGTCTGTCATCATTAAAAAGTGTTTCGATATATTCTTTCCATCTCACAAGCTTAGCCTTTACTCCTAAAATTATCTCGTTGTTATCGTTTCTTAGGATTGTTTCTTGGTGTTTTCTGTGTCTGTGTGTAAATTCTTTCACTTTTTTATGAACATTGAAGGTGTCATACTTTGCTTGTAGTTGCTCTATTTCTTGACATTTTGTTGACATCCAGATCTCTTTCTCTTCCCGGCACTTTTTCCTAATGATCCCATTTAAACGTTTGTATTCTATCGGGTTTGCCTTCTGCTTCCGTCTGTCATCCATGAGGTCTAGTATTTCCTGTGTTATCCATTCCTGCTTTTTGTTGGTTGCCGTGAATCCAATATCTTTTTCCTGGATATTTGTTATTCTAGTTTTTAAATCATTCCATGTCTTTTCGACATCTTCTTCCCGTACAGGTACCTCTACCATTTCTAGTTCGTTTTCGATCTTAGAACTGATCTCTTTCTTTTTCTCGGGGTTGTTCAATAGTGCGATGTCTATTATTTATGGCATATATATATAATTGGAGTTTATAATCATCTGCTGATGATGCTAACATGATTAGCGAAACGCGCGTCCAGTGTAAAAGTAAAAGTGTTTTGGTGTATTCTGGTGATTTAGTGCTTTTATTTTGCATATATATGCGATGTCTATTATTTATGGCATATATGGCATATAATTATATCATTCCTCCATTAAAATTTAATCTTCTTCCCAAGTGGTATGCAATTTAGCGCAACTTAGGAACCTGAAAGTCTCCATCGGGAATGGAAATCCTTCAAAGATCTAAGATACTCAAAGAAGTTTCTGAGGACTTACAACCAAGCAAAATAAAAGATTTTAATTGATTTAAGTAAGAACAATTTTCAGATTATCACGGGGTTTTTAACAGGAATGTCTTCTCAATAAACACCTCGGTAGATTGAGGCTAAGAAACAACGGTAAATGCAGATTCTGTGGGGAAATGGGGAAACACCAGAACACCTCATCACTGAGTACTCCGAGACGACAACCCTTCGTGCCATAAACTTTGGTACTGCTATCAGAGATGGAGAACTAACCTCTATAAAACCGTCTCAGATGCCGATGACTATTGTCAATTCCCTGGGACTGTATGATAAGTTATAACTAAAGAAAGGGGGACACATTAAATATTAAATCTATTAAGGTGGCGGTGATTAACTTCTCTCACCCATACATACTACATCTACAATCTACACCTATCAATATTAGACATCTTTATTCCTATACAGTAATCACGCTCTTCTACTCTTTATTGACTGCTTTTCATGACGTTTGTTTTAGGAAAAAAAGACACATCTCGTTTTATATTCAATCCCCATACCAAAAACATACCACAAATTTCGAAATAAATCATAAGCATGTCGGTCCTGCTATATACCAACAAAAAACGTTTATTTCCTCATTTGTTATGATTTCCAAGTCGTTTTGAATGTTATTGACCAGAGACGTTATGAATATGGTAAAATATATCTCACTGAAAACTCTCGCTGGCTACTCTATATTACGTTGTTGTTTGGACTACACAACTACACTAGTTTGCAATTGTCTTTGCTTTATTGTTTCACCACGTTGCGTTTTTTATGCTCGATGTATCGTACATTTAGAGGACATCCTTTATCGACATCTGTAGATAAACTCTGTACCTGTATCTTTTAGATATATACTTTCTCACATACTAACACACAGTGTGCCGGGCTTGGAATTGGATCGTTGATTGAAATAATTGGTGAGTTATTTCTTCAATCAACGATATAATCTTGTCAAGGGACTTCGTAGAGTAACCATTCTGAAGCAAATCAGTTTTAATATTTCTTACTGCATAATCAAGAGATTCTTGGTCACTGCATACCGTGATTTCTGGGTGACATAATGTTTTAACTATACTTATTTTTGTTGTTTCAGAATGCTACACTAAATGCCTTCCTCGACTGAGAATTTAAATACCGCCTTTGATGTGTGTAGGTTTCCTATATACGTAATACAGAAGTGCTAATGGATGATCCATCGTTTCTACTAACAGAAGACAGAAGTTGTGCTATCTTTCTCAATAAAAAATCTGATGGAGTAACTTTGCGAATTGAGATAATTGAGAAAACGATCCAAGAGTCGGTTCTATTGCAAATTATGAAGATATCATCAACATATCGAGGCCAGATATGAAAGTTACAGAAGAACAAGTGCTGTTTATTGGCATAAGTTTCAAATCATCACATGTGTGAATTTTTTTTTCTCAATTGTAAATTTTACATTAAATAATTTTCAAACAAAATTAAAACTATAGAAAGCAAGCTTTGCTAATAACTACTGACTGCTTTACATGACGTTCGTTATAAATATGGAAGCTTTGGTGTTACACAGTAAAATAAAACACTAAATCACCACAATACACCAATACACCAAAACACTTTTACTTTTACACTGGACGCGCGTTTTACTAACCATGTTAGCATCATCAGCAGATGATCAAGACTAAACTAATATCTACAATTTGAGCGTTTGGGTACTGCGTGGTTTGGGCACTCGCTCAGTGGGTACTGAGTGGTAAGATCTAGCCAATCGGATCAGAGCTCACCGACCGTAACAATTAAATTTCCGCAACTAGGGTAGTATAGAAGCAAAGAACTGGAAAGACTTGGACCGTTGTCTCTGTTCATACTATTTTTACATTTATTAATTCTGATGCTTTCATATGCATCTAATTGCCTATAATATGAGACTTGTTTAATTGATTTTAAATTATTAAGATCTATGCAATGTTCTCTATCTATTTATTAGCCTTGCGTTGCTGAACATATTGTTGTTCTCCTCAATATCAGCAGGAGTAATAGCTGACCATACTTCGGCAGCTGGTTCCTCGGAGGTGCACTGTTTTTAGTGGATAACAATTCCGAGTCCTACACTGTCTAGGGGTTATTTCTATGATCGTCTCTCTCGAGATGGTGATGGGAATGATCACTATTCGTCTAAAAAAGATTTTTAAACGACCCCCTCATCAAAAAAATAGTTATTTTTTATACAAGACGATAAAATGGTATTTTATTGTCGACCGAAAAGATTAATTCAGGAGCGATGAAATGGCGAGCGAATTAACTTCGGGAGACGATAATACAATTTTATCGTCCTGTATAAAACAATATTTCTTTCCATAGCGAGTTACGTTTTAAAAAATATTCAGGAATTATTATTTCAAGGAATTTATTAGGAGTAGAAAAAATATTGTGCTGGGTTGGAGTTGGTTTCTATGTAATTTGACAAATAAATAAAGCTGTCTCTTTAGTTGTCAGTTTTGAGTCAATATTTTTTTAATTCTCTTTCGTGTCGATTGCTGATTGAATTGGAGCCAGAAATGGCTCAATACCAGTGGCGGATACAGGGAGGGGGCCCATGAGGCCCGGGCCCCCCTAAAATCTGTGAATTGGGTTAAATATTAGGCTTTTGGGTTAAAAATGGCGCCCTAAAAGGCATATTTAGCATTATTTTTTATTTGGCCCCACCCTAAAATAAATTTCTGTATCCGCCACTGCTCAATACGAAATAAGTAAATTACCAACAGATATTCAGGCTGAGGCGACAAACGCCATATCCATACTACTTCCATTTAAATCCCGAATAACTTATGAAAAGGAATACAAAAATTTTTCAAAAATGGAAGCAATTAAAAAACGTGCGAGAAGAAATAAAGTTTTTAACCTATCCTCGCTGTTAAAGTATCATTTAATCTACCCTTACGGTTAAAGTACTATTTCATCTACTATTTTTGATAGATATAAGGCAATTTTAACAGTTGCTATGGAAAAAAATAGTTTAGTCTTGATCATCTGCTGATGATGCTAACAAAATTAAAAATGTTAGCGAAACACGCGTCTAGTGTAAAAGTAAAAGTGTTTTTGGTGTATTGTGGTGATTTCGTGTTTTATTTTACTTTTTAGTTCCCTATAAAAAAAGACATCTCATTCTAAATTCAATCCCCATACCAAAACCTCCCACAAACCACGAAATAAATCATAAGCATGTCGGTGCTGCTATATCGCAACAAAAAACGCTTCTTTTCTCATCTGTTACGACTTCCGAATCGTTTTGAATGTTATTGACAGAGACGTTAAGAATACGCCGCCGTTAAGGAGCAGCCGTGTAAGGGCCGTCATAAAATCGGCATCTGTAACAGATCGGCGGGGGTACAATCGATTAGGGTAATTTTTTACCCGCACCCTCTCCGGAATAAAGAATGTGTGTGAGTGCGTGTGTGGGTTTGTATATTGATCAGAAAGTATTGCTGTGTAAAGAGTATCTAGTTGTAAATACTCAGCGAGCTACACTGATTGAAATTAGAGGATTTTAGTACTAGTGATTAGTACTGAAGTCATTTCTAAAATCAAAATGATTTAAGTCTTAAGTCAAATTCAACATAAAGTTAAAATTAAAACCTCTCAATATGTACTCAGTACTCACACTGGGTAGGAGGGGGGCCGTCCTGTAGGGTGGAGCAGAGGAGCAGTTTCTCCAGGCGGCCAAATTTGAGGACGGCCGTTTCGGTACAATTGTACTGAATTCGGTACATTTTGAGCAAATTCGGTACGTCAGTACTACATTTTGGAAAAATTGTCATTTTTGTTATGAAATTCTAACAGTATAAATACAACTAGTAAACTGCTTCAGACTGAGAATCTCGACATCATTGAGTCCACAAAAGCTCTAAAAGCTATCGACGACTATTTTGTCAAAATAAGGCCTGACGACCATTTTAGAGAAATATCGGTGGATGCTTCAGAGCTGGCAGAAGAGCTGGAAATTTAAGCCCAAAAAAAAAACTAGGCAGTTTTTATATGAATCAGTGGATGAGCCAATTTTAGATCCACAGGTTTGACCTGTTAAAAGCTCACTCCAAAACTATTTTTCGTTTTTATACGTCTTCACAGTTCTCAGGAATATCAACCGAGAGGAAATAACAAAACATTGTATGAATCTTCATCTCTATTTAGCGGACGGAGGCAAACATGATATTAATAGCCTAGAGCTTCGGGACGAGATTTTTGTTCTAATACCACCAGATAATGCCGAAAACTTCAGTTGTCCAAAACAAACGCTAAAATATTTAAACATTCACGATCTGATTGGAAACTTTCCAAATATTTACATCTCCATAAGAATCTTATTAACGCTGCCGGTTTCAATGGCAACCGCAGAGAGAAGTTTTTCTAAACTCAAAATAATTGAGAATTATCTGAGATCAATAGTATAATAATATATTAGTATGACACAAGACCGATTAAGCGGATTATCTTTAATATCTATTGAGCACGAATAAAAAAAATTTCAAAAATGGAAGCAATTAAAAAACGTGCGAGAAGAAATAAAGTTTTTAACCTATCCTCGCTGTTAAAGTATCATTTAATCTACCCTTACGGTTAAAGTACTATTTCATCTACTATTTTTGATAGATATAAGGCAATTTTAACAGTTGCTATGAAAAAAAATAGTTTAGTCTTGATCATCTGCTGATGATGCTAACAAAATTGAAAATGTTAGTGAAACACGCGTCCAGTGTAAAAGTAAAAGTATTTTTGGTGTATTGTGGTGATTTCGTGTTTTATTTTACTTTTTAGTTCCTTATAAAAAAAGACACATGTCATTTTATATTCAATCCCCATACCAAAACCTTCCACGAACCACGAAATAAATCATAAGCATGTCGGTGCTGCTATATCGCAACAAAAAACGCTTCTTTTCTCATCTGTTACGAAACATCGACGATTTTATTTCAGAGTTTGCCGAAAAAAAAAGCAAGAAAAAAGTTTTAGTTTTATCCAGGTTAGGAATTTTGTTTCTCAGGATTATGTCTATGTATTTATTACGAATTTTGTTTTGTTAATAATTTATAATCATTTATATTACCTAGTTTTAGGTGTTAGTTTGGCTAATGTACCTTATAATGTTTTTTTTTTATTCTTGTTAGGTACCATGTGACACTCCTTTTAAATACAAAATTTAAATGCTAATTCTGAAAATCTTGCAATATTTATTTCTTTTTTTTTCGGAAAGCGTTCATATTTCGTCATATTTTCAAGTCAACTTTTTAATATAGGAAACTTGCGCATCTCAATATACCTATATATATTTTATTTTATATTATTCATTTAAAAACTTGCCCCATCCCATTTGCTAGAATTCTTCGTTATGACGAAGAGACGTATGTTGAGATGGGGCTCTTTGTTATATCAACTGTTATACCAATTATACTACAAGAAAGATGGAATTTGAGATAGGCCCTTTTGTTTTAAGTTATGAAAATGCATGCGAGAGAAAATGACACATTCTGCCTAATTGATGGTTGCTTGGGACAAAATAAAACTTCATGGCAGTAGCTCTCTTTTAAAGTGTTATTTTGAGTCTGATTTTTTTGCCAAAAACCATGGTCAGAATGAGCTAGGCTCTGCACATAGCTGTATTGGGAATCCAGAAAATTGAACGAGAATAAATGGCCGAAGGAAAATTGACCGAAAGCAAAACAAACGAGACGAAGATTGCCCTAATGGAAAATTTTCCGGAATCATAATTTCCCTAAGAACATTTTAGCGAACCAAACAGTTGCCTGAAAAATACAATAATTTTCATCTACTTATCATTGTCAGGCCATTGTGCGTATCAGCATCCGGCATAAACACGTAGAATGGAAGTCGAATTTGTTATAAGTGAACAGGGAAAACAGAAACTGTTACTCCAGAGTTATTTGTATCAAAAAGACACCAATGAAGAAACATCTTTTGTTTTTGTTTAGTTAGGTTTTTATTAAATGGACCGTGTGTTTGAATACCCTGTATTAGAACAATCTTTTACAAAAAATCGACATTTTGGGTAATTTTTATTTCTGTTAATTGTGATTCGATGATTCTTCTGTTCGGGCTAATATCTTTTTGGTTATTTTTCTTTTCGATCAATTGTTTTCGGGCAATTCTTCTTCGGTTTTCGGGCAATTTTATTAAATCCGTTATATTGCTCATGCAGTAAAAAACAAGCGAAGTATTTATGCTCAACCAGCTGTTATCGGTAATTCGTGAAAGTTATAGAACAGTAACCTTAAAACTATAGCTGATTTTTTCAACATCACATTCCAGAAAATTCTAGAAAAAGCCAGCGACAAAAGTACAGCGATTAGCAGCTCTAGGTACAACTGGAGCAAGGAACAACACAGCGCAAGCTGCGCTGGAAGCAATTCTGGACTTGCAACCAATCGACTGGCTCGTGAAGGATCTGGTCGCTAAGGGTGCCCTAAGATTAAGGGAATCCAATCTGTGGAACCAGACCAACTACGGTCACTCGAGGATATTGCCAGTGATAGGGAAAATCATGGTGAACACGAGTCCACATCTGCTAGACCAGAAAATAGACTATATGCTCACCAAACATGATTTTGGAGAAAAGATAAGGATTCGCATCCCGACAAGAGAAGAATGGGAAAGCAATTGAGTAATGAACACTCAAGAGATTGCAGTCTACACAGATGCTTCCGCAAATTCAGGGGGCACAGGTATAGGCATCATCTCAGAGGAACTAAACATCCGATGATCTTTAAGGCTATCGGATGGCTGTAATGTTCTACAAGCAGAGGATTACGCCATAAAGGAAGCGGCTAGTTGTATACGAGAGAAAATTGCTGATAGACCAATAGGGGATATACTCTGACAGATTGGCCGCTTTAAGAAGCATCACCATGTAATCAGTGAGATCGAAAACTGTGATGGAATGCCGAGAAGCACTGTCCTGGCTGCGTCGGGGCGGGGCTACTCTGTGCTGGGTGCCAGGCCACAGCAATCTGGTGGGCAATCAGGAAGCAGACAAACTCGCCAAAGATGGGGCCAGGGGAGAGGCCGTGGCAGATGACCCACCACTTGTGACGATCAACACACTGAAGGAGGCTATAGGAACTGCCATCAAAGCCAAAGCAAGAGACGTAACAACACCGTGAGGACTGCGCTACAGCTCGAAGACTATGGCCAGTGGTAGATAGCAAAAAGACAAAACAACTACTAGAGCACAAAAAGGACCTAGTACGCATAATGGTAGGTGTCGTCACTGGAAACTGTCCCACGGGGTAAACCTGGTTAGATGAAAAATTTCCGACGACGACTACTGCAGAGAATGCGGAGAGGAAGAAGAACCATATAGCACCTGCTGTGCCACTGTCCGGCACTGGAATACCGACGCTTTAAAACTTTAGGGCAAGGTTTTTTGGAGGGACTAGAGGAAGCAGCAGAAGCCAACATCAGCGACATCGGGAACTTTTCAAAGAGCTGGATGTGCTTTAATGCAAAGAAAGAATGAGAGGAAGGTTTGGTAAAACAATACAGGGGTATCGCAATGGGCCCAAGGCCTCCGAGTGAGGGATAACCTAACCTAACCTAACCTAATTCGAGGATTCTTCTGTTCGGGCTAATATCTTTTTGGTTACTTTTCTTTTCGGGTAATTCTCCTTCGGTTTTCGGGCAATTTTATTAAATCCGTTATATTGCTTATGCAGTAAAAAACAAGCGAAGTATTTATGCCCAACCAACTGTTATCGGTAATTCGTGAAAGTTATAGAAGAGTAACCTTAAAACTATAGCTCATTTTTTCAACATCACTTTCTAAAAAAAACAAAATGTATGTCTAAAACCTATAATATTACAAAAATATCAAGATCTACAACCCTTTTGCACTGGTGGGAAACTTGGGATTAAGTAAGAACAATCTTCGAATTGTTTTTACTTACATACTTGGGTTTTTAACAGGACAGTGTCTCCTTAATGAACACCTCAGTAGATTGAAGCTATGAAACAACGGCGAATGCAGATTCTGTGGGAAAAATCATCTCATCACTGAGTGCACCGAAACGACAACCTTTTGTGCCATAAAATTTGGTAATACGACTGATATCAAAGATGGAGCTCTGTAAAACCGTCTCAATGGCAAATACTGGCTTTTACTTTTGTCAAAGCCCTGAGACTGTATGATAAGTTATAACACCAGAAAGGAGAACACAATAGATCAATAAAATTTAAAGGTGGCCATTCTTCTCAAAGAGACCCGGTTTAAATTAAAAAGAAGTAGAAAAATTACTCAAAGTTTCAGTCTCAACGTTTATATAATGTTAAACAGTGACACGTGTTTCGCTCATACGAGCATCATCAGACAAATACAATTAAAGTTAAACACCATGTGTTGTTTTAATATGTATAATGTGAACGTGTGTGTGGATTAACTTTAAATGTATTTGTCTGATGATGCTCGTATGAGCGAAACACGTGTCACTGTTTAACATTATATAAACGTTGAGACCGAGACTTTAAGTCTTTTTTCTACTTCTTTTTAATAGATCAATAAGGCCGCGGTGCTTAACTTCATCCCTTCCATACATTTTACAATCTTGTAATCCCATTTATATACAAAACCTATACCTACATGTTTTCTCTTGTATTTCTCTCTCAATTTCTCTTTGGCTTTCTTTGAAGCCTTCGCTTAACATTTTTAAAACAATGCCTTTTTAATTTTTAATTTTATCACCGACCCGTTCCAATTAAACGA